ACCATCAGGGAAATAGAATTCCCAGGAAAGGTGTCTTTTTTAGTTTAGCAAGAGGAAGTCTGAGCAGGAATAGCATGGCTATATTTAAATGTAGTTGAGACACAGGACCCAGTGAGGGACAAGGGTTATACTGGCAAAGGAAAAATGGGTATCAACTGTCCATGAAAAAACTTAGGCTGGAAATTAGATGAAGGTTTCTGCAGCAGCCTCCTGATGTTGGAAGCAAGAAATCTAAGGGGTTTCAAGATGGACCTTAGTCATCTAATAGTGAGTGAACTTCTGGAGGCACCAAGCTGTCCCCACTGACTCCATGAAGACCCTAGAGACTTATCACTTCATATTTAGGTTAACCTTACGGAGTCTGGGCACTTAGGGTACTTTTATATATGCCCTGGGGCTGTCAGTGGGAAGCTTTATTTAAAGTGGTGCTGCATCTTAGGGCGGTTTGAGTCTTCGGATCATGCTTTGGATCCGATGCTGCTTCAGATGCTTCGGCTGGGATGCTTCATGCCCAGATCGAAGTGCGGGCTCAGGCACATTATCTGAAGTGGTTCGGAGCATCCGAAGTACTTTGGATGTGCTTTGGGTGCTTCAGATGCTTCAGACAGCTTGACTTAAAGTTAGAAGAGGAAGGGAGAGTATGGCGGGGGGGACTGGGGGGGGAAGACCAACATGTGTAGATGGCCAGTGAGAAGGATTTTTCCCTGGCTGCCTTTCCAATGACAGTGTCTGTGGGGTAGGACTAGAAACAGCATAAAAGCCTCTGTTTGGATGCATTCTGTACCTTTTCCAGCTTGTGCCCAACTTTGTTAGAGAGGAACGCTCAGACTGAGACATTGCAGCTTGGTAGCTCAATACTAGTTGAACTTGCCTGCTCCTTTTTCTTGTTACAAAGGAGTGGGTAGGATTTATCTTAGCTTAGCTTAGCTATTCTATTCAGTTATATTAGTATTACTATTCAATTCATTTCTTTGAATTTATATTTGCTCTTTTTTTTTTTGGAAACTTTGAAAAAAAGAAAGCTGTGTTACATCACTGTGCAGGAAGGCACAGATTGCTTGCACACACACAGTCACACAGATACACAGACACAGAAGGAGACAACATAGAGAAAAATCAGATATTCATAGGAGAAGAAGACAGACAGACAGACAGCACACAATTTTTAAATAACTCTTAACACTGAAGCAAACATTCAAAGAAGAGGCCAGTGCACACACGCAACAGAGAGAATAAAATGCACAATACAAAAGGATTTACACACACAGAGAGACCTTTTGCAGCACAGGAAAGATCAATATGAAGTGTGCTGGAAAGGCAGGTGCCAGGTCTTCTGACAGGGGAGGGAGAGGGGGTAGGGGAGAGCTAGAGCTGCAAGCTCCCCCACCCGCCAAACACAGCTGCATTCTCTTCCCAAGCAGCCCTGACATCGGTGCTGCCAGTGAAAGCCAGGAAGAGGGAGCAGTGTCTGCATCTGACGTCCTTGCACCTGCACCACCTCCCCTCAGTCCAGAAGTAGGCACCAGCAGTGGAATCACTGTCTCCTCCACCCCAATTTCAGCTCTCAGCGTGAGCCTCCCACTGCCAGAGGAGGAGCTGGAGCTGGAACCAGGGATGCTGAGCGCACTGGCTCAAGCAATTCTGGGGACTGAGGGGGAATCAGAGTTTGTGCTCCACACCCCTCAAGTTTCCCCTAGACCCAGATCTCCTCCAGAAAGCAGCACCTTGGAAGAGGCTGAGGTTGTGGAGGCAAGTGACTCAGCTGAGACAGCTCCTGCTGGTGTGCCTCAGTCTGCTGAGAAGGGGGTTAAGGCAGGATCCTCAGCATCAACCCAGAAGAAGGGGAGTAGTGTACTGTGGGAGCATTTTGAACTGGCAGATGATCCCAGGTTTGCCATCTGCCAGCACTGCCAAAGGTACATGAGCCATGGGAAGGACGTGAGACAATTCTCCACCATGGCCATGCTGCTGCATCTCAGGAGGCAGCACCCCCTCACCCTTCTTCCTGCTCAGCCTGGCACCAATGCGATTGTGCTGAAAGGGAAGTCCCCCGCTCGCTCCAAAGCCCCCTTCTCCCCAAAGCAGAGGCTGGCCACCCTGGAGCAGTGGGGGAAAGGTGGACAGAAAG